ATTTTCGAAAAACTGAGAAATATTAAATTTCTCTGTTTTACAATTTTCCGATTTTTCAGTTACTAATTTTTTTAATTTTTATATTGTAAAATATACATAATGTAATATCAAGTCAGTTATAAATTTTTCAATTTCTTACTTTCGAATTGTTTAGTATTTCGATTTTACATTTTTCCGTTTTCTGGGTTTTTCGATTTCTTAGTTTCACATTTTCTGTATTGCAATTTCTCGATTCTACAGTTTTTTGATTCGCAACTTTCCAATTACTATTAAAATATTTTAGTATTAGGAGTTTTCAAATTTCCAATTTTGCAATTTTTCGTTCCTTCAATTATCCGAAAAATGAAAAATATAATAATTGAAAAATCTGAAAATCCAAAAACTCGTAAATCGTCAAATCGAAAATTTCATAAATCGATAAATCAAATTTCAAGCGTTGGATTTTTCAATTAAAAAATCTAAATAATGGAACATCGAAACATTGAAGAAACGCAAAATAAAAAAATTGAAACAAAAAACAAATCAAAATATTTAAAATCAAGAACGCGAAAATTATAATTCCAAAAATTGTAGAATCGAAAACTTGCAAAATAAAAATGGAGAAACTCAAATATCGAAAAACTGAGAAATTAATCAAAATTTTGAAAAATCAACAATTCCGAAATGCAGAAGTCGAAAAGTCGAAAAATTGCAAAAGATTGTGAATCCGGTAAATTGCACGTTGAAAAATAAAAGAAACGAAAAGTTGAAAAATCTAAAAATTAATGATTTAAAATCTGTAATCCAAAAAATTACAAATCAAAAAATTGTAGAAATTAAATAATTAAATGAAATGCAAAATTTAAACATGAAACTGAAAAATCGAAAAATTACGAAAACGAAAAAAATTAAAGTTGTAAAATTGAAAAATCGAAAAGGTAAAAGCTGAAAAATTTAAAACTGAAAACTTGACAAAATAGAAAATAAAAACTTAAAAATTTAATTGAAAAAACTGAAAAGTCGTAAAATCGAAAATTACATAAATCGACAAAACGAAATTCTAAGCGAAAAATTCAAGGCGAAAAATTGACACGAAAAATTGGAAAAGTTGTAAAATCGAAAAATTGAAATGTTCGAACTGCAAAAATTTTAAATTAATTAATTATTTTAAAATATTTCAATTCTTGGACTTTTCAATTTTCGATTTTGAATTTTTTCATTTTTTCAGTTTTTCCATGTTTCAGCTTCGCGTTTTTTATTTTGCAATTTTGCGATTCTACAATTTTTTGATTTGTAGTTTTTCAAGTTACCAATTTTAAATTATTCAGTTTTCGGATATTTCAACTCAAGAATTTTTAAGTTTTCGTCTATTCAATTTATCAACTTGCAATTTTTTAAATTTACTTTTTTTTTCTCAATTTAACTTTTTAACTTTCAACTTTTGGATCTGTTTGTTTACAATTTCTCAGTTTTTCGATTTTTCTGGTTTTTGTTTCCCCGATTTTCCGATTTTTGAGATTCCCCATTTTTGTTTAGCAAGTTTTGGATTGTACAGTTTTTGGATTCATCATTTTCGAGTTCTCAACTTTAAATTTTTCCATTTTTCAACTAAGGATTTTTTGTTTTCCAATTTTTTTTATTTTGCGTTTCTTCGATTTTTCTATGTTCCATCATTTAGATTTTTTAATAAGATTTTTCACGGCTTGAAATTTTGATTTATCGATTTATGTCGAGATATGAACTTTCCGATTTCAGGATTTTCCAGTTTTTTTCAAAATTTCGAATTTACAGTTTCTCAGTTTTTCGATTTTTGAAAATCTCCATTCTTAGTTTGCAAGATTGTACGATTTTTTTTATTTGTAGTTTTAAAATTCCTCCGTTTTTCAATGTTTGCCGATTTCCAATTAATCCACTTTCCAAGTTTCATTTGCCAATTTTTCTATTTTACGATTTCTGATTTGCATTTTTCAAGTTTTCAGTTGAAAATTGCTGAATTTTTTAATTTTTCAAAATTTTTTAGTTTTTCGGTTTTCAATTTTTATTTCTCGTTTTCTCGTGTTTTCAACTTTTTAATTTAACGATTTCTTAATTTTAATATTTTACAATTATCTCATTTTCCAGTACTGAGTTTGCACTTTTTCAATTTTAAAATTTTTTTATTTGCAATTTGTTGAGTCTCTATTTAAAAATTTTCAATATTTCAATCTTTATACATTTGAAGTTTTCAGCTTTACAATGTTTCAAATTTTCGAGTTTCCAACTTTAGATTTGTCAGTTTTTCAAATTTTATATTTTACGATGATTGTTGTGATTTTTCAGTTATTTGATTTTGCAATTTTTATTATAAAAAAAATGAAAAATAAAAAAATAAAAAAATAAAAAAAATAAATTTTAATTTGCACTTTGTCGAGTTTTCAGTTTAAATTTTTCAATTTTTCTATAGTTTTAACATTTGAATTTTACAATTTTCGTTTTTTAGTTTTTAGATCTTTGCGTTTCACTTTTTTGAAATTTTTCGGTCCTATAATTTTTTGAATTGAAATTTTTCGAATTATCGATTTTAAATTTTTTAATTTTACGATTTTTCAGTTTCGATATTTTGTTTTCTTCCATTTTTCTGAATTTTGCAATTTATCGATGTATAACTTTCTAATTTTTCAAGTTTTTGATATCTTGATTTTTCAACTTTTTACGTTCAGGATTTCATAGGATTTCGATATTTCCTATTTTACAATTATTTCATTTTCTAGTACATAATTATTTATTTTCAAAATTTATAATTTTCAATTTTTTACATTTCAAATTTTTCGATTTTTCAATTTTTTGAATTTGAATTTTTCGTTTGTCCAGGTTTTCAATGCTTCAAATTTTCGTTTTTTCAACTTTCCAATTTTAAAATTGTCATTTTTTCAAATTTTCGATTACGATTTTTCTGATTTTTCAGTTATTTAATTTAGGAGTATCCGATTTTTAATGTCTTTTTTTTAAGAAATTTTTGTTTCTCAATTTTTCTAGTTTTTGCGTTTCTTCAATGTTTCGATGTTCCATTATTTTGATTTTTTTAATTTTTAGGTGGCTTAGTTTAAACTTCCGATTTTTCATTTTTATATTTTTGAATTTTTGGATTTTTCAACGGTCGAAATTTTGATCTATCGATTTATGAAATTTTCGATTTCACGATTTTCCTGTTTTTGGATTTTCAGATTTTTTAATTATTACATTTTTCACTTTTTGTTTTGTAATTTGTCAAGTTTTCAATTTTAAACTATTCATGTTTTAACTCATGAACTTTTCAGTTTTCGACTTTTAATTTTTTCGTTTTCCACGTTTTTATTTTTCAATTTTTCGATTCTACAATTTTTTGATTTGTAGTTTTCAAGTTACCAATTTTAAATCCTTCAATTTTTGAATATTTCTACTCTAGAATTTTTAAGTTTCCGTTTATTCAATTTTTAAAATTGCAATTTTTCAAATTAACATTTTTTTTTTAGTTTAATGATTTTTCAACTTCCAAATTTCGGATTTGTTGATTTCTCAAATTTTCTATTTTTGACAATTTTTTAAAGAATCCATTTTTCAAGTTTCATTTAGCAATTTTACTATTTTACAAGATTGATTTGCATTTTTCAAATTTTTAGTTTAAAATTCTTGAATTTTTTAATTTTCCAAAATTTTTATTTTAATTTTTGGTTTCTTCGATTTTTCATTTCGCAATTTTTGGATTTTAGAATTTTTCGATGTTTCATTTTTAGATTTCTCGTTTTATCGATATTTCGAATTTTCAACTTTTTAGTTTAACGATTTCTTAGCTTTTCGATGTTTGCTATTTTTCAGTTGTCCCATTTTCCAGTATTGATTTTACAATTTTTGAATTTTAGATTTTTTGATTTGCAATTTGTGTCTCCATTTAAAAAGTTTTAATATTTCAATTTTTATACTTTTGAAGTTTTCAGTTTCTCAACGTTTCAAATTTTCGATATTTCAAATTGTAGATTTGTCAGTATTTCAAATTTTATATTTTACGATGATTGTTTCAATTTTACTTCTATTTTGGAATTTTTCGATTCTACAATTTTATCGATATTAAATTTTTCAATTTGAGGATTTTTCAAATAGGAAATTTTTCATGTTTTTCGTATCTCAATTTTTCAAATTTTAAGTTTCAGGATTTCTTAGATTTTCTATTTTTCATGTATTCCATTTTCTAGTACATATTTATTTTGAAAATTTTCAACTTTACAATTTTTTGATTTTTAATTTTTCGAGTTTAGAATTGTTCGTTTCTTCACTTTTTCAATGCTTCAAATGTTCCTTTTTTAAACTTTTCAATTTTAGAATCGTCAGTTTTTCAAATTTTCGATTTACGATTTCTCGTTTTTAGCATTTTTTTATTTTTCCGTTATTTTATTTTGGGGTTACCGGTTTAAAATTTTTCAATTTTGCAACTTTTGATTTTTTTCAAATTCTTATATAAAGTTTTTCAAAATGTGTGCTTTTTGAAAAATTGCAAAACCAAATTTGGAAAAATGAAAAACTAAAAATCGAGAACTAACAAATCAAAATAAAAATGACTGAAAATTCAAATTATATTATCAAAAATTTGTAAAAAGAAAAATTGGAGAACTGTAAAAGCCAAAATAAAACATCTAGAAGTTTTAAAATGAAAATTTTGAAATTTGGAAAATCGAAAAATTGTGAAATCTAAAATATCCAAAATAAAAACCAAACAACTAATATCGAAAAATGGGATAATTAAAAACAATTTTAATTAACAAATCGGTGTTAATAAAAAAATCTTCATTAATTTTCGAATAAAAAAAAAACGTAACGGTTACACTTTGCCGTTTGCGATTTTCTCCTGTAGAATATTCTGTTCATTAAAAAAACACAGCGTACAACTTGTTTACGTGGTTTAGAAAACACATACAGCGTGTTTTCATCCACAACGTGTTTTTTCAACACGATTCCGAGTTCACGTCCTCGAATAATCGTCTCTCGAACTCCACATTCCCAGCACTTACCTTTTTGCTCGAGTGTTTGTGATATCTGGCGGGGTGGAGCATGCAGAGATACCTATCCATGGCCATGCATATTAAGATAACTGCAGACTGTTGACTTATAGCACCTCTGAGCAAAGCCTGCAATCAATGAGAGAATGTTAGAGAATACAGAGAGCTCAGAATTACAAAAAGCCGCCTTCTTAGATTACCTTCCACGTGACCGTGGGCCTGGACTTCCCCTGATACATTTTTAACGCGAAATTTGCATACTTTTAGCACAATGGCGGCGATATTTTTTCATTCCGCCGTCATAAAGTAATAAAGTCGTGACGTAGTCGCTCAGATAAATTAATCTTTTGTCACATAAAAGCCACACACATGAATTTAAAAAAGCTCACTGTGATAAATAACGTTTTAATGGAACGTGGTTAATCTGTAAAGATGCATTTAAGGTGGCGTAGTCGTAGAGATAAATTATCTGCCACGGAAATATTTCGTGGAAGTTCATAACAAAATACGTGCCATTAATATCAGTTTCGGGAGGTAAATGCGAAAAAATAGTAATTAAAAAGCAAACAAGTGTGCTTTCATTAGTTGCCGGGGAGGGAAGATAGATTGCTTTTCAGAAATTATTATCTTAGTCAGAAATGTTGCGGCGGGTTGGTGAAACGGAGGAGGAAGGGTTGATTAATTTTTCAGTGAAAGGGGAGTGCACATGTGGATCAGAATCCATCAAGGAATTTTTTGTAAACAGGCTTTGTTTAATTAAATTACTATGGATAATACGAGTGTTCTTTTCGGCAAACTTCACCTTTGTGTTGCATCTGAGAACACATCTTGTTATTTTATTTCACAACTTTGATTAGAATTTTGATCACAGTCGCTTGATACGGTTATTTAGACACACGAAAAGTAGGGAGAAGTGAAATCTGTTCGGCAAACGACCCCCGAAAAAATTGGATTACTCATCATTTATTTTTGTTTTTTTGAAAACACGGCGCATCTCCCATACACGTCCGGCGCATTTATTACATTTTAGTTTTTTGTCGATATTTCATTTTTTAGATTTATCGTTTTTTCAATATCCCGATTTTGCAATTTTTCAATTTTAGATTATTTTGATTTTCAATTTGTTGAGTCTTCATTTAAAAATTTTTAATATGTCAATTTTTATACATATTTTGAAGTTTCTAGTTTTTCAATGATTTAAATTTTAGATTTTTCAACTTTCAAATTTTAGGATTGTCAGTTTTTCAAAATTTTATATTTTACGACAATTGTTTTAGTTTTTCGTTGATTCAGTTTCAGTTTTATTTTAGAATTTTTCGATTCTACAATTTTATCGATATTAAATTATTCAATTTGACGATTTTTCAACTTTGAAATTTTTGTTTTCTCCGATTTTTCGTTTCACAATTTCTGGATTTTACAATTTGTCGATGTTTATTTTTTTAATTTTTCATGTTTTTGACAGCTTGATTTTTCAACTTTTAAACTTCAGGATATCTTAGATTTTCGGTGTTTCCTATTTTTCAGTTACTCCGTTTTCCAGTACATATTGATTTTGAAATTTTTCAATTTTAAAATTTTTGAAATTGGTTAAGATTCTATTTAAAAATTGTCAATTTTTACATTTCAAAATTTCAATTTTTTGATTCTTCAATTTTTAGAATTTTGAATTGTTCGTTTCTTCACTTTTTCAATGCTTCAAATGTTCGTTTTTCAAGTTTCTGATTTTAGTTAGATTTGCCAATTTTTCAAATTTTCGATTTACGATTTCTCGTTTTTCGAATTTTCTGATTTTTCGGTTATTTTATTTTGGAGTTACCGATTTTAAATTTTTCAATTTTTCGGTTTTACAGCTTTCGATTTTCCAATTTTTCGTCTCAATTTTTCGCTTTTATAATTTTTTGATTTAAAAATTTTTTAGTCGTTTATAATTTTTTTTATTTTTCAATTTTTCAACTTTTGTACTTTCCAATTTTGCGGTTTTCCAATTTTTTGTTTCTTCAGTGTTGCGACTTTCGAGTTTCTACAATTTCATTTAGCCAGTTTCCAATCCTATTTATTAATTTTTCAGTGAAAGGGGAGTGCACATGTGGATCAGAATCCATGAAGGAATTTTTTGTAAACAGGCTTTGTTTAATTAAATTACTATGGATAATGCGAGTGTTCTTTCGGCAAACTTCACCCTTATGTTGCATCTGAGAACACATCTCGTTATTTTATTTCACAACTTTGATTGGAATTTTGATCACAGTCGCTTGATACGGTTATTTAGACACACGAAAAGTAGAGAGAAGTGAAATCTGTTCGGCAAACGACCCCCGAAAAAATTGGATTACTCATCATTTATTTTGTTTTCTTGAAAACACGGCGCATCTCCCAGACGCGTCCGGCGCATTTATTACATTTTAGTTTTTTGTCGATATTTCATTTTTTAGATTTATCGTTTTTTCAATATCCCGATTTTGCAATTTTTCAATTTTAGATTATTTTGATTTTCAATTTGTTGAGTCTTCATTTAAAAATTTTTAATATGTCAATTTTTATACATATTTTGAAGTTTCTAGTTTTTCAATGATTTAAATTTTAGATTTTTCTACTTTCAAATTTTAGGATTGTCAGTTTTTCAAAATTTTATATTTTACGACAATTGTTTTAGTTTTTCGTTGATTCAGTTTCACTTTTATTTTAGAATTTTTCGATTCTACAATTTTATCGATATTAAATTATTCAATTTGACGATTTTTCAACTTCGAAATTTTTGTTTTCTCCGATTTTTCGTTTCACAATTTCTGGATTTTACAATTTGTCGGTGTTTATTTTTTTAATTTTTCATGTTTTTGACAGCTTGATTTTTCAACTTTTAAACTTCAGGATATCTTAGATTTTCGGTGTTTCCTATTTTTCAGTTACTCCATTTTCCAGTACAATGTTATTTTGAAATTTTTCAATTTTAAAATTTTTGAAATTGGTTAAGATTCTATTTAAAAATTGTCAATTTTTACATTTCAAAATTTCAATTTTTTGATTCTTCAATTTTTAAAATTTTGAATTGTTCGTTTCTTCACTTTTTCAATGCTTCAAATGTTCGTTTTTCAAGTTTCTGATTTTAGTTAGATTTGCCAATTTTTCAAATTTTCGATTTACGATTTCTCGTTTTTCGAATTTTCTGATTTTTCGGTTATTTTATTTTGGAGTTACCGATTTTAAATTTTTCAATTTTTCGGTTTTACAGCTTTCGATTTTCCAATTTTTCGTCTCAATTTTTCGCTTTTATAATTTTTTTATTTAAAAATTTTTAAGTCGTTTATAAATTTTTTTATTTTTCAATTTTTCAACTTTTGTATTTTCCAATTTTGCGGTTTTCCAATTTTTTGTTTCTTCAGTGTTGCGACTTTTGAGTTTCTACAATTTCATTTAGCCAGTTTCCAATCCTATTTATTAATTTTTCAGTGAAAGGGGAGTGCACATGTGGATCAGAATCCATCAAGGAATTTTTTGTAAAAAGGTTTTGTTTAATTAAATTACCATGGAAAATGCGAGTGTTCTCTCGGCAAACTTCACCCTTATGTTGCATCTGAGAACACATCTCGTTATTTTATTTCACAACTTTGATTGGAATTTTGATCACAGTCGCTTGATACGGTTATTTAGACACACGAAAAGTAGGGAGAAGTGAAATCTGTTCGGCAAACGACCCCCGAAAAAATTGGATTACTCATCATTTATTTTTGTTTTCTTGAAAACACGGCGCATCTCCCAGACACGTCCGGCGCATTTATTACATTTTAGTTTTTTGTCGATATTTCATTTTTTAGATTTATCGTTTTTTCAATATCCCGGTTTTGCAATTTTTCAATTTTAGATTATTTTGATTTTCAATTTGTTGAGTCTCCATTTAAAAATTTTTAATATTTCAATTTTTATACATATTTTGAAGTTTCTAGTTTTTCAATGATTTAAATTTTAGATTTTTCAACTTTCAAATTTTAGGATTGTCAGTTTTTCAAAATTTTATATTTTACGACAATTGTTTTAGTTTTTCGTTGATTCAGTTTCACTTTTATTTTAGAATTTTTCGATTCTACAATTTTATCGATATTAAATTATTCAATTTGACGATTTTTCAACTTCGAAATTTTTGTTTTCTCCGATTTTTCGTTTCACAATTTCTGGATTTTACAATTTGTCGATGTTTATTTTTTTAATTTTTCATGTTTTTGACAGCTTGATTTTTCAACTTTTAAACTTCAGGATATCTTAGATTTTCGGTGTTTCCTATTTTTCAGTTACTCCATTTTCCAGTACATTGTTATTTTGAAATTATTCAATTTTAAAATTTTTGAAATTGGTTAAGATTCTATTTAAAAATTGTCAATTTTTACATTTCAAAATTTCAATTTTTTGATTCTTCAATTTTTAGAATTTTGAATTGTTCGTTTCTTCACTTTTTCAATGCTTCAAATGTTCGTTTTTCAAGTTTCTGATTTTAGTTAGATTTGCCAATTTTTCAAATTTTCGATTTACGATTTCTCGTTTTTCGAATTTTCTGATTTTTCGGTTATTTTATTTTGGAGTTACCGATTTTAAATTTTTCCAATTTTTCGGTTTTACAGCTTTCGATTTTCCAATTTTTCGTCTCAATTTTTCGCTGTTATAATTTTTTGATTTAAAAATTTTTTAGTCGTTTATAAAATTTTTTATTTTTCAATTTTTCAACTTTTGTATTTTCCAATTTTGCGGTTTTCCAATTTTTTGTTTCTTCAGTGTTGCGACTTTCGAGTTTCTACAATTTCATTTAGCCAGTTTCCAATCCTATTTATTAATTTTTCAGTGAAAGGGGAGTGCACATGTGGATCAGAATCCATGAAGGAATTAATTTTTTGTAAACAGGTTTTGTTTAATTAAATTACTATGGATAATGCGAGTGTTCTTTCGGCAAACTTCACCCTTATGTTGCATCTGAGAACACATCTCGTTATTTTATTTCACAACTTTGATTGAAATTTTGATCACAGTCGCTTGATACGGTTATTTAGACACACGAAAAGTAGAGAGAAGTGAAATCTGTTCGGCAAACGACCCCCGAAAAAATTGGATTACTCATCATTTATTTTGTTTTCTTGAAAACA